ACGCTATTTCTGACATTTTGAATTGAAAAATCTTCCTGGATGGAAGAGAAACTTCCAGTGGATAGTTGTTTTTTTTACTTTTTTGGAATGACTCTGACCTGTATAACTGAGAATCTTTTCAGCAACTGAATCAACACTATGACGGACCGACCAGATTTAGCCTAAAAACCGACGTTTAAATGACATCTGGCGTTTGGGGGAAGAAAGAAAGAAGCTGAGCCTCATTCCTCAGCTGGCGCCAGATTAACACTGACGCTGTTTTTATTTTCCAGTCTGAGATTCGCGCTAAAGCTCCAAAAAGAAGCGAGTTGTCGGACGAGCAGTTCCTGCGGTGGTTAACGTCTATCGGAGGAACTCCTCCAGAGCTCCTGGCGAACCCTGAGGTCCTGAAGCTCTTCCTGCCGGCCCTGAAGGCCGACCTGCACGTGGTGGAGAACTACAGGTCGGATCATCTCCTCGCTGCTTTGGCTTCGATTCAGAAGGAGATCAGATGGTTTCACTGAACTGGTTCCTTCTCTGCAGATGGACCAAACCAGACGCTCCGTTCCTGGCCTGTCCCGTTACCTGCTTCGATGGGAAGGAGGACGTTCCTCACGACTTACAGGGTCAGTCCTTCAACTGCTAACCCCAAACATAAAGATACGCCTGCAGTGAGGAGCTGAGAAGGTTGTGGGTTCCACACCTGATTAAATGTGTCTCTGAACAGCTTGGAGGAGCATCACGTCTGGAGATTTCACCATCAGGATGTTTGACGGCTCTCATTTCTACCTGAAGGATGCTGGGAATGAAAAGATCCTGTTAGACCACATCACCAAGGCCTTGGAGACGGCAGAGATGGATTATTTATGATTAAAGGGACTCTGTTAAGTATTTTTTGGGGGGAAATGTTTATTCAAAGATGTGGTGTGAGTTCATATGATGTTTCCTTTTATCTGGTGTTTCACTCAACGAGCCTCTGAAGTCAACCAGGAGATAATCCAGCTCTGTGGGATTTAATCCAGCCTAACTGAGCCGTTCTGACCGCAGAGGTTCTTTAGCGTCATGAAGGCCGGCCAGGGAGGAGGTTCTGGTTCGGTTTGAAGCAGGGCTCGGTTCTGAAACGCTCCCTCTGATTCATCTGAACCAACTGCATGGGCGTCCTGCTAGATGCCACGGTGGTGGCGCCATCATGCTGTGGGGAGGCTTCTGGTGCCTCTGGAGGTATTTACCGTTTGTAAAGCAGTCAATAATTAGTAGCAATATTTATGGGTTTTTTTGCGTATTTTAGGAGAAAAACAATATTTTTTTACTGTGTCATTCATTAATTTATAAAAAATCTTACATTTTTAAATAGATATTTAACCTTAAAATTAATATAGATAATAGATATTCCCAGGTTTTTAGTTTGGTAGTTTACTTCTGCTTTTCAGCATGGAAATTTACATATTAAGTTTAAGTAAATATTTTATTTGGAGCTAAATATTTAACAAAATGAATATTTAGTTTGGAGCTAAATATTTATTTAACAAGCTAAATACTTAATTTGCAAACTAAACATTTGCTTTGGAGCTAAATACTTTTCTAAAACTAAATATTTAGTTTTGAGCTAAATATTTATTGAACAAACTAAATATTTAACAAAGTAGGATTTTAATAAATGAATGAATGAATGAAATGGTGAAAAATTGACATTATTTTTCTCTTAAAACGCTAAATAACCATAAATATTTTTCTCTGCTTAACTTTACAAACGGCGCCCCATAATAAACATTAGCAGTAGCGGCATAAAGCCTGGAACTCAATTATTTCTGACATTTTTAATTGAAAAAGCTTCCTGGATTTCCTGGATTGTTTTGGGTTTTTTTTTTACTTTTTTTAAGCACTTAGGTCGTTATGAGACATATATTGCAGAACGAAAATATTTTTCACATAAGAATATAATAAATAAAGCAAAGCAACATTAAAATAACATCCCACAGACCTTGTTTATCCTCTAATTTCGGGTAATGCTCCCCTATTTTGCATACCCTAATGGAAAATAGCAAACAACTGAGGAACTGTAAGCCTAAATACTAGGGATGCAGGATATAATCGGCCCCTGATTATAAGACTGAATATCGGACATCGGCCACCCCACCGATATTTAACCCGA